GATCTGCCAGTGCTTACAGGGGTGCACACAGTGTGAAAGTTCATCAGACTGTTCCTTTAAGCTTTGTGCACTTCACAGGACATAAAATACCTCAAGTCAAAAAAAAAAAAAAACCCCTACCACAGTGATGTGGCCAGATCACTGCCCCTCTTCCTGAGAACTGCTGGGGTAGCACAAGCCTTATTTTTTCTTTTACACCGATAACTTTACCACCCACTATTTTGTGAGTTTTACTTCCAAGAGATATTAGCAAAATGCGGTTGGCCCTTTAATACCTGCCTGGCAGAGACAGGGTAAACTATACCTCTTCATAATTAAAGTTACAACTGCTTTGTTATCCCCTAGCATCTCTCAGGGTTAGCCCTCCAGCCCTTGAAGGGTTTATTTGTCACCTCCTGATTTCTTTGCTGCTGTTTCTTCCATTTTAATTACCTTTGCACAGTTGCTTCAACTTTGGAGTTGTGTTCTATTTCAGAACAGATGCCTATGTTTTCTGTTGACAAACAAATCAATAGTCTTCAGGGCAGAAGGTCAAAAAAAACAATTTTGCCTTCTTGTGCCTTTTCATCTCCCAGTGATTTCTGTCTGTTAGAGTGCTCAGCAGGAGGACACCTTCTCCCACACAGGGTGGTACAGGAGGACGGCACATGCACCCTTCTCTCCATGTCCTGCCTGTGGTGTCGCTGCAATCAGCGTGGGCTCCGTAGGGATGGCTGCAAGAGGGGCTGGTGGTGGGTGGTTGGGGGAGCTCATTTGTCAATACCTCCTGAAGAGCTGGAAGACCGGCCCTGCGGTCATTCCAGAGCAATAACACAGGGCTCTGGGCCACCCACAATGTCATCAGCAGATGGACAGGGTTCAGAGAAGAGCAGCACAGATGATTAAGGAGCTGATGGCGCTGATTTATGAGTGAGGTTAAAAAAAGGCTCAATCTACATAGGTTAATGTAATGAGGAAAATGGGGTTTTGGAGAAGTTCTCATCACCACCTGGAGTGTTAAGGACACGCACATGCACTGGGGAGGGGAAGGGGGCTGACGATGGCTTGGAGAAAAAGGTGCCGCAGGCCTGTTATTGCCATGGTTACCATCATCACCAGGTGACACCCCAATGTCTCTGCTAGGAAATGAAACAAAGCACAGGCCTGTTGTCTGGGCATGGGCACGTTGTCACCAATGTTCATTCACACAGATCCAATTTGCTCACCAATTCACTCATTCTGAAAATAATACTTGAATGCCCACTCTGTGCTGGGCACCGTCCTAGACACAGGGAATCTGGACTGGACTGAACACAACCAAAAAGGTCATGTCCTCAGAGAAGCAGCATCCTAGTAGAGGGCGAGAGAACAAGAAACAAGGAAACTAAGAATAAATGAGGAAGCTTCAGAGAGCAGGCAGAGCCATGAAATCAATAAACAGGGCAAGAAACCATAGGGATTGCCAGGCAGGGGTGCAGGGAAAGCCTCTCTGAAGAGGGTAGATGCCAGCCAAGGAAATACGAAGGGCACCAGTGTCAGAGGAGACAAAGCCTGAGGCCTGAACCATTTGGCCAGTTCCAGGGAGAGAAAGGAGGACGGGAGGTATAGTTGTGGTGGGCAGCATGGCATGGGGTGAGGACAGAGAGGCACACGGGGCTAGTTCCTGAGATCATTTCTATACCAAGGGAGGAAAACCAAGCACAGATAGTCCAAGACCAGCAGATGATAGAGAGATAGTATATGTCTGTTTTAAGTGTGACTTGTGCTATTTTCTTGCAGAGCGAGGCCTCCCTGATCATATTTTCTTACCCTAATATTAAAATTAATTTGTGTTCCCTTAGCACATACCAGCTGGTTGATATAGTCAATTGACCTAGAGGTCTGTTGATGGGCAAGGAGGAGGCAGCCTAGACTGGAAAATTGGCCCTGCATAATCTACATAGTAGATAAATGACACATGGTGACTTAAAGCAGAGTTTTAGATGAAATGAATCAGAACAGAGCAAAACCTAACAGGAGATTGGAACCCTAGGATCCTTTGGTCTTCCTAAGATTCTGTGGATCTCTGAGAATGAGAAATAACAGGTTTGGGGCCCTGCTGCCTTGCAGATAGCTCTGGGTGCAAGAGTGGGCGGGGGGGGAGTATGCCAATTACTCACCAAGAGCTACAAAATGTATTGATTCGACTGATGCCACTTCCTAAGGGGTGGCACAGCTGGTTAACACACCATCTCCATGGACTGAGTTCCAGTGAGTTCTATGACCTTTGAGTTAAACAGCTTCCAGACTCCACAAAACAACCCCCCCTTTGCCTAGAGGGGGAGAAAAATCCCTAAATGATCTTAAGTCCCCTTCCCATATCACCTCAAAAATGCATGTAGAGTACATCACTGCTCCATGACATTTACCTTCCTAAAATGCACATCTGTGTCCCTAGTCTGTCCAACTTTGTCCCTGGGTTGTCCCTATATCACTTGTGTGTGTTTCATGCCCTGCTTGGCATGATTGCTGCATGCACTTTTCAGACTCTTAACTGAGTTTTTCTGTGTCTGTCTCCCCCAGCTTTCTGTGAGCTCCTTGAGGGCAGAAATGAGGTCCTGTGTAAAGGCTTTGAGGTGCTGTCGAAGCAGCGACCCTGCAGTGGGGTCACGGGAATTCATAGGCTCAGCTGCAGGTTCGTGTGGATCAGCTCTTCCTTCCCTGTTCATGTTCCTGCCCCTCTGCTTTCCTTCCAGGGATGACTGCGATCCCATGTGCCTGTCTGGGAATCTTCCTGGGCGGTCTCCTGGTGAAGAAGCTCAGCCTGTCTGCCCTGGGGGCCATTCGGATGGCCATGATTGTCAACCTGGTGTCCACAGCTTGCTATGTCTCCTTCCTCTTCCTGGGCTGTGACACAGGCCCTGTGGCTGGGGTTACTGTTCCCTATGGAAACAAGTGAGTACTGGAAATGTCTGCTCCCCGCTGCATGCCCAGTGACACCGGGACTCTCTCTCCTGGGAGGTTAATGGAGCCAGCTTTGTCCCAGTGACCCTGACCAGAGGAGTCGAGGACATCTCTGAATCTTACTCCCCAGGTCGAAGACCAGGGCTTATCTGCCACCCCACAAGGGCAAGTAGATAGACTGGGAGATTAGAGCAAGGGCAGCTCTCTAGATATCCGTGCACAGCCCAAGCCCCATATGTCCCCCGCCTCCTTTCCCACCACCACAAGTGGCCTCTTCCAAGCCCCACCCCACCCCAGCCCCGAGTTCCCCGCCAGGGCTTATCTGCCACCCCACAAGGGCAAGTGGATAGACTGGGAGATTAGAGCAAGGGCAGCTCTCTATATATCCGTGCACAGCCCAAGCCCCATATGTCCCCCGCCCCCTTTCCCACCACCACAAGTGGCCTCTTCCAAGCCCCACCCCACCCCAGCCCCGAGTTCCCCCCTGTCCAGATACTGTGCCTTCTGGTTTGCACGTGCTGTAAATAACAGCCCTTACTGTGAATTGCTCATCTCTCAAGTGGTGTGCTACAGTGGTTAGAAGCACAGGGTCTTACCATAATGATGTTATTCTATAAAAAAGAAAAAAAGTGTAGGGCCTGTGGTCAAATTGCCCCAGTTTAATCCCTCCTCCGCCATTTACGAGTTTTGTACATTTGGGCAAGTACAAACCTGGCTACGCCTCAGTTTCCTTCTCTAATAAAGCCCATGGGGTTATACTGAGAATAAATGAATTAATAAATGCAATACCTTAAATAGTACATGACACAGGCGTTGTCAGGTGTCACCATCCTCATCTTTATTATTATGAAGTGCTTGGAGCCTTAGGAGACACAGCTGGAAATAACGGGGCTAAAGAAAAGATACTTCATCTCATTCAGGGCTGAAAGACACCCACCCCACCCTTTTCCTCTTTTTTTAATTTGCTTGCTCTAGGTAACTGTGCCTTTAATGATGCAAAGAAAAATTTTAAACATCTTAGTGTTATTTTTCTCTGGATATTGAATTAGTCAGTCAGACAATAATTATTGAAGCCAGTCTAGCTGTAGCAGTGTAGTAAGCATCATGAGGCATCTTGTCTGATGGGTAGGAAGAAAACAGAGGCAAGAACCAGAGCAAAGAGGGAGGAAATAGGAAATGAGATGTGCAGCCGTGCCTGCGTAGTTGTTGGCCTGGGGAAGGGGGATGAGTTGAGGCTGCAGCAATCAGGAGAGGCATCATGGAGGGGATGGCCCTGAGCTGAGCCCCTTGCCGCCAGCCCAAAGGGCACGTTGGTGAAAACAATTAAAGGGGCTTTTCTCTCCTCCCTTCGTGAGAGGACCTGGAGCTAGACTAAGCTCCCACCCAGCCAGCCACCCAAGCTGGCTTCACTGTGCAGGACACTATCTGTATAGCTCTTAGCAGTGGCTCTGGGCTTGTCCTTCCAGGACAAGGAGGGGTAAGATTGAAAGATGAAAAGCAAGGGAGTGCCAGGTAAGAATTCCATGAGCAAGGGTGCCATGCCACTCATCACGGCAGAGGGCTGCCACGGGGCATCCAGTCATGCCTTGACTTGTTTGTCATGGGTTCCATTTTCCCTTTCTTTTTCAGCTCAGCACCTGGCTCGGCCCTGGACCCGTACTCACCCTGCAATAACAACTGTGAATGCCAAACTGATTCCTTCACTCCAGTGTGTGGGGCAGATGGCATCACCTACCTGTCTGCCTGCTTTGCTGGCTGCAACAGCACGGTAATGGTGATTTTTTGATGCATGGGATAGGGCAGGGGACTCAGTTAGCTAAAGTAACTTAAAACCCAAGGTCAGGGGCAGGAGTGGGCAGCCATAAGTGTCGCATATATTGTTCTCCTTCACTGTGACTTTTTCTAAGCCTCCGCCCTCTTCTAGTGGAAGATCTTTCATTAGCAGGATGATAGGACTGACTGGATATTCAGGCCTTCTTGCTAAATCAAGTAGATGTCCAAGGAGTTTCACTGATCAACTGAATGTAAAAAAGGAAGCCATACATACAGAGTCAGAGAAAAAGATTGTGGTTCAGGGAGCTCACCAAGGGTGTCAATGCAATAGGATGTCTGCAGAGGTAGTGAGCTCCCCATTGCCAGAAATATTCAAAGGCAAGAAAACCGTTTTTCAGGAAGGACCTTTTGCAAACCTGAGACTCTCTGACACTGATCCAGCCTCTTCTCTACTCAGTTCCCTTTGCCTTTTTCTTCCCAACTAGATGCCCCCCCCTTTTCCATCTTCCTGACACACTTTTTTTTTTTTTTTTTTGGCAATTTTCTTCTCAGTGTGAAGTTTATAATTGGCTGTCAGCCTGCAACCTTCCGAGTTCTCTGCCTGAAAATCGTCAGGTCACCCAGTCCTGCTGATCCCGCCTTCCAGGTGTCTCCCACACCTGCCCTTGTTCTGCAGCCATACGTCTGCTGCCTTGGTGCAGGCCTCCCTACCAGTGCAGGAGTTGCCTACCTGACCTCCTAGGAAGGCCTCTTCCTGTTCTTTCTTCTACACTGCACCCCGAAAGATTTCCATGACACTGCAAATGCCCCGTTCATTCGCATGCTGCTGTCAACTGGAAGATAAGATAGGCACTAAGCCTGGTTCCTATGAGTCTTCACTGCCTGTACTCTTCAGCTCTACCTCCTTTCAGTCTGTGGTATTCAGCTGTTTCCATTCAACCTGTCTTTTCTTCATACATCACCCTCCAGTTGGACAACTCCTACTCACCTGTCAATACCCTACTCAAATGTCCCCTCCTCTGAAACCATCCCTTCCCTCTTTCACCTTTGAGGGTCTTGCTGCTGAAGTCCTTTGGTGCCTTTCTCTCCTGAAGGCAATTCTCTCATTTCAGTACTATGATCTGCTAAAAGTGTCTGTCATCTGCTCTGATCTGTGGGTTTCTTAAGCAGGGGCGAGCACTCAAAGTGGTCTATAAATGTTCACACACTGCATAAATAGGAAGGAAATTGAGAAGGCCATGAGGCTGATTTCAAGGAACTTAGAACTGAAATTACTTGTTTCCTCCCTTTCCCAAATCCTGTATCTTTGGGGAGCAGCAATTTTTCCAAGAGAAGAAAAATGGATCATTTATTTTCATTTTCAAAGATTTCATATTTCCTTGCTTTTAACATTTAGATTCCTGGCCAGCTATTAACATTTTCTATAGAGAATATAAATCACTATGGGGGGTGGGTGGGAGGAACTGATTTTCTAAATTAGATGATAAAGCAATTTCTTTATGTGAGTGGAAATAAATTTTTAAATAGGGCTAGAGCCTTGAGAATGGTTAAAATAAAAACACAAGCTATTATTTTTCATGACAACGATTTCATTAACATTTTAATATCCAAAAAGTTATATTATAAATCAGTCTTGGTTAGTGTCCTGTTAAAAGAATTAAATTGACTCAGTATAGCCTAGTGTCCTGAGACCAAGCAAGTCTTTATGCCAGGGAATGCACTGACCAAAAAATTGTCTTAAAAATTGCATTTCCCCTGATCTTGCATGTACAAGAGTCTTATTGAATAAGAGCCTAGGCAGGCCCATGGTTGCTTCCAGCTGCTGAAACAGCAAAGCTATGGAAGGCAGTTATCAGATTGCAGGCTCCTCTGCTTGCCTCTGAACATATCGCTTATTCCCCAGACACCTGCCTTTATGCACATTACTTGGGGCCTCACCTTGTCTGCTGGGGTGCAGACACGGCAGGAGGGTTATTCCCATGCGATTATAAAGGCACAGATTGAGGAATCACCAGGCCCTAGAGCTGGGTGGGAGTTAACATGCCTTCCCCATAGAGGCAGATCTCTGGCTGCCTGGCTTCTAACAAGTGGATAAGGGATTTGGGGATGCAGAGCCACTCTTTCCTTGGAAAGGGGCCATTGTGACAGTCTAGCCTTAAAAACAACCACAACTGTAAAATCTGCAACAGCAGAAAGCTTTGTTGAGAGCCTGTTACAGGACAGGTAACGGGGCCTTCTGTGTGTCACTCATGGCCCGTGGCAGCTTGGCCCAGAGTCAAAGGAATCTCAGGCTGACATCCACAAATGAGCAAAAAAGCAATTTAAATCTTTTAAATCTCTGCTGCAGTATTTTGAGAAAATGCTAAAGCTTTGTTGAGAGCCTGTTACAGGACAGGTAACAGGGCCTTCTGTGTGTCACTCATGGCCCGTGGCAGCTTGGCCCAGAGTCAAAGGAATCTCAGGCTGACATCCAAAAATGAGCAAAAAAGCAATTTAAATCTTTTAAATCTCTGCTGCAGTATTTTGAGAAAATGCTAAATGGTGGATTATATTCCTGGTACATTCACTACCTCCCCTTCCTTTTCTCCAACCTTTCCTTTCTATCTTCAACTTCATTTTTTTAAAAAAAAGTCTTCCACAAGCTAAAAGCTTCCTCGTCTCTCTTACCTCTTTCCCCTTTCCACACTGATTGTTTAACCATCCCCTGGAGTTCTCTTATTCTAATGTGAACTCAGCCCTTCTCCCTGGTTTCAGCGGTTCTTCCACCCCTACCCTCAGCCCCGTCTCTATAAGCTCATTCACCCTCTCAGCAGCCTCGGGTGTGGAGCATAGATGAGTTTAGTCACTTGCCCAGGTCATGCAGCAGAAGCAGGGGAGCTGGCATGTAAAGTCTGACACCATGCGCAGTGTCTTCCTCTGCACTCTGCAACTCAACCGTGACTCCCTTAGGGATCCCCACCTTTTTTCTACCTGTGAGAACCTCTTCACACACGCTGTCCACAGTCAGGACATTTAGTCTTCACTGTCTGGCCCTGGCTGTCTGTTCAGCCTCGATCTCCCTGCTCCTCCCACTTCTTAATAGGCCACCTGCTAAGTGGAGCTTCAAGTTCCTCCAACACCCTACATTCTCCCTTGCCCCTGGACCTTTGCACGTGCTGTTCCTTGTATCTGGAATAGTCTTTTCTGTCTAAGCTTGTCTTATCTATCAGGACTCGTGCTCTCCTTCACTGCTGCTGGGAGGCCTTCTCCACCTGGTCACTTCCTCCAGGATGGTGTTAGCACCGTTCCTGTGGATTCCTACTGCACCTGCACTTGCCTGGCAGGGCTCCTACCCTGCTTGCTCTAGTGGCTAATTTACTCCGCATCTCCCTCCCTAGGCTCCAGGGATGGGGGCTCTGTTGTGGACCCTTCATTCCCAGTGCCAGCCGTGGCTCTGGATTAAGGCCCCAGGCTTTCTAAACACCTGGCTGGAGGCCCCATGTTGACCTCAGAGAGCCCCAGGGAGCCACAGGTGATAATACCAGTCTTGTGTGGCAATGGGCAGGCAGGTAGGTCGGATGGTGCCGATTTCATACTAAAGACCTAATCTTTGCTCATCTCTCACCACTTTATAGCTTCCATCAAGACTGGAGAAAATTTGGGCCGGCCCGGTGGCGCACTGCTACAATGCGCTGCTTGGGAGTGCGGCAGCGCTCCCACCGAGGGTTCGGATCCCACATACAGACCGGTTCCCGCTCACTGGCTGAGCGAGGCGCGGGAGCAACACCGAGGGTTGC